GTTTAAGGAACTTGTAAACGGTTCACAGGGTGAAGGTTACACCCCTTAACGATCCAGGAGATCGTTAACTCTAATATGTCTGGAACCATGACTGGAAGTTCGAGGATGAAGGTACAAATCCAACCTAAAAGAGATTGAACCTGCCCTAATAATAGACCTCTACTTTATTCTTCTCATATTCATGTCCGCTTTCTGAGCAACATGTAATCAATAGGTTTACCCTAAACCTGTTTAATCTATGTTGGTTGAATATTAATGCACAAACAAATCTATTATTGGCGATCACTTGAATTATAATCAAATTAACCCTAAACAAGATTATTAATTATCGTATATAAGCGTGATTGCAATTACGAATTCCCTTTAAACATGCATAAAAAGCGTGATAAAGAAATAACAATAAATATATATCAAGCAACATAATAATAATCATCATAAATTATAACAATTATAATCATAATTAAAATAATAATCATGTTAAAGCATAATAATAGCATGATCCTAGGCATGATACTAACAAGATTAATAACAAACCCTAGAATGTCACTAAACATTAAAAATCAAAGCTTTAGCCCTAAAATGATATAAACATGAATATTAGGAGAGAAATAAAAGGCATCGCAGAAATCATAATTGATATAAGGAACTTATTGTTGTCATTCAAAACATTAAGTTAAGGAACACTTCCTAACATGATACTAGGAATCAAAACAACAACCCTAGACATGATTTCTATATCATAATATCAATGAAAACAATTAAAGCACTTACTTGGATGTCTCGTACCTTTTTCAAATAACAAAATACACGCGTTAGTTACTTCAAGGAAAATATAAAACAAAACGATTAAATTAAATGATTGAAATAGAGATTTGGGACCAAACCCTCAGAAATTAAACCTTTCATGTACATCTAGGGCAAAGACAACTTCAAACTTGGCTAGGTGTGTCTAGATCTTGTGAATGCGGAATTTTGTATTTGAGAGAAGGCTAGTTTATAAATGAAAGGGAGAGAGAGGATATCAAGAATTTCTTGATCAGAGTTGGTGAGAAGAGTTGATAGTTGTTGGTGATTATTGATGGTAAAAATTGATGATTGAAAACCGAATTGTAGGAGGCTAGTTCTAGAGAAAATCAGTCGGATATGATAAAAAACGAATTAGAGTTTCAAAAAGAATAAAACACGACGTTGTCGCCAACAACGTGGCTGTCTCTTGACGCCAGGCCTAGTGCCAAACGCTACACTCTGTTGCCAGGCGACAAAGCTGTCCTATGGCGCTGCAAATCAGTTTTCCACGAGTTTTCTTATTTAGATAAAATTTAAGCGTACGAGAGGGTAAAACTGTATTTTCCTTAAAAACACTTCTTTTATTCTAATTAAAAATCTAAAAAGTCAATTTATCAATGCTAATTAAATTAGGATTCTAAAGAACCTTCTTGAAGATTCTAGAAAACTATAATCAATCCTAATCGCATTAGGAATGATAAATCAATAATAGACCCTCCTCTAGATCATCGGGACGCACATAAATATCAAACTGAGCCCAGTTTAGTAATTTTGGCCATAACTTCCTCATTATTCATCGGAATTGGGCTTATAATATATCGTTAGAAAGCTGTTTTCGAACCTGACCAAACTACACTATTATTAGACCCTTTCCATGGACCAAACTAAACTGGATTGGCTGTTTTCTTAAAATAGGTTTTCAAAAACAGAGAGAAAGAAAAGAATATAACTAACCGCAACACTAGACTTTCCACACTTTCACTTCATTCGATTATGATTCAACGTGAAAGGTACTCATCATTGGGTTTGGTTTTGGAGAGACACAAAGGTGTCTACAATAGGCCTTATCAAGACGTTCAAATGTTGCATCACCGGAAGTAAAACCATTAGTCCATGAATACGAAGGACCAGAATAGGGGATATCCAAAAGATTATTTCCAATTTTCCATTCTTGAAAACCAATTAAAGCAGCTTTTTTTTGGGGAACCCTTCGCTTTATCTAAACTATATTCTACTTGATTAAAATCTCCAATAAGTAGAATGTTCGTAAAATTTTGCAAAATATGAGATATCTTAACCCAAACAGCAGCTCTTTACGAAGGATGAGGCGACCCATACACAAACATGATATGCTTTATTTCATCAGAAGTTGGAGTACATATTTCACACAAAATTACATTGGAAGAGACCAAAAGAGGAACTACTCTAAGCGGAGAAAACAAAAAAACAACTAAACCTCTGCTAAGCCTTTGAGAATCAACACCACAAAAACCATCAAACCTCAAAAGGAGCTAACTTTCTAATAGAGAAATCAAATACGGAACTTTAGGGGAGTCCACCGAGCCTAGGCCCCACGTTTGTTGAGCACCACGTTTGTTTGGACAAGATTTTTTGATCCACTCCCACATTTTACCCTTTGTAATCTTGAGTCGCAGAGGAGCTGCTAATTTGCCCTTTTCATCCTCATATAGACTAGGCTGTTGAATTTGATCTTCAACCTGATCAGGTACGCTTGGGGTGAGCAATCCATGGGAATTGGTTCATCTTCTTCTGCCGAAAATTCAACTGGAGATGGATGGATGGACGAGACCGATTGAGAAAATTCGAATTCCCCTATAGATATCCTGAATGATCTGGCGGCACATGAGGGAACGACGACGCCAAAGAAGGTGGAGATCCTGATTGCTGCTGAGATTGTTCGAACAGAAGAGAAGAGAGATTATTATTCCAATTGCTTGGACCAGCACCAAAGGGATCAAGAAAAACAGGCCTAGAAGGCCCAAGAGGAGGAGTGAGAAAATAGGAACTAGATTCAAGTTGGGCTGACCCACATCTTGAAATAAGTCCCAAAGAGGCCCAGTATTAGGCGGATTACGATGAGGGTTCAAACTCGATTCATTAAGTCGGGTCTAATCTTGATATATTTGATGAGGTAACAGAACATGTGACCATAGGGAGGGATTAAGATGACTTGAATTGATATTACCCAATGTTCCAGCTATTGGATGTTCCCAATTAATAATCTGAGACAAAACATGATTAGAATTGCTTGCATGACAAATTAAACATGTGGATTAATAAACCCATTGATCGGTGCAAATTCATCAAATTTGAGATCTTCTCAAATGTACCGATTTATGCCAAGATCACGACGCCACACCTCGTCTCTGCTATTTCGGTAGCCACTGAGAGGTGGTCCGGGAAATAACCCCGGTAAAGAAGTCGGCGGAGGAGCAAGCCAAGGGACGGAGATGATAGAACTGAACCTGTGGAGATGTTGTCAAATACACCACTATGGTCATCCCAATTAGAAGGATGAGAATCAGCTGGATATTTAAAAGGATCGTCCTTATCATTATCTCAAAACCAAAGTTCTGTAGTCCAATTATCAGGATTGGGAGCTATTCCCCGAATGGAATTTGTGTATAACAAAACATCTGTTGGACCAAATTAAACATGTGCGTTGTTTTCGTGTAGCTTACGAAAGCGGCGCTTCAAGTGGAGCTTACTTAATTCATATAATTTTGGACAAGTCTCATGTCCGTGTCCGACAAACCCGCACTTTTTGCAAAAGCGATAGATTTCCTCGTATTTAAATCGAACCCAAGTAACATGATTGCCATAGGTTGGGAAGTAACAACCCGCAATTTAGGGTAACAATAAATCAACTAAAATTTTGACTCTAGGTTTAGGGATATGAAACTGACCGTTATGCTCTTCTTCCATAAGTATATCGCAGACATGATTGAGAATAGAGGAGGCCACTTCAGGAACTGAGTAGTAGATGGGAAGGCCTTGAACTTGTACCCACATTAGGACTAAATTGAGATTTAAATTTTCTAGAACATCATGACCACGGAGGCGTTGAATAACCATAAAGCTTCCCTTAAAGTGAACCCAACCACGACGATCGAGATCCTTAGCGTCCTACTCAATTCCACAACTAAAAAAAATCATGTTCATAAGGAAATACCCTGACTAGAGCTCGAAGGTGCTAGAAGCGAAAAACTAAACGTTGAACAAGACCCACAGAGAATTTCCGATTATCCTAAAACTTGCCTATAACAGCACTTTGCAAATTGATATCACTTTCCTAGAAGGAGGGAGGAGAGAATCGATAGGAGCCTATTGTGTGAGGATACACAAAAGTTCTAGGGAAGATTCTATCAGACATGGTGTTTTTGGAAGAGAAAACATGGAAAAGTTTTGACTGAAATGAAAAGGAGAAGAGAGTTTCTCTCACAAGAGAGTCTTTGCGCCGACAAATTATTATTGTTTTAGAGGTTGAAAAAATCTTGTTTAAACTGCAATTATAACACAAGAAAAAAAGTACATTGTAAAACAAGTGATGAAAAATTAAAAACTAATTACTCTGCATTTAAAATGAATACACACGCACACCAAGCACTTAACAATGAGTATCTTCACTAACCGTCTAACATACCCTAAATTAAAGACCCAATTTGAAATCTAGACATAACAAAAGAAAATCAAGACTAAATTCTTAATTTCATACTAATGTAAAGTATCGAATCATCAAGTCTAGGAATTGCTCCTTCGAGTCAATCAAAGCCTCCGTAAGGATCCCAACCATGTTGGTTTCGTCTTTGCAAGAAAATAGTGCTTCAAGAGATCACTTTCCGTTGGTCTCTTAGACACCTTAGCCACACTTTTTGATGAACTTCCTAACTGTTATGTCTTGCAAACATTATGTTTTCGTGGTCTAAGCTAATTACTTCAATAGACAATAGTTCAGCTTCTTTTCCGGGTGGTAATTCCAAGATATTTCAATGATAGTTCAATTATAAAAGTTGTGTATTGTATAGGAATTCCAATTCAACCACCGTATTTAGGAGCGAGCCGCAGTGCTCACCGTGAGAAACAAGCCCGTTACTCAAAATGGCTTTTTGGAAAATATTTTGATTTTTTCACTTACTGAGATGCTGAGTCAGATTTCGTGGGGACAACTTATGTGTCAAATTGCTTAAATAACGGCGTTACAAGAAAATGGAAATTAGAATTAGCTCTGCTCCTCACCTCTTTCAGAGCTTGAACTCCTCTATTATGAATTACGCTCTGTACTCTGTTTATATTCATGCCCAAATGACATAATTGGGTCTTCAAGTTGTCGGAAATCCGTTGAAGCTAACAGGTTAGTGAAGTTTTCTATTCTTTCTTCTTCGTCCCTTCATGTTATTTTCTGTTCTGTTTTGTTGTTCTATTCTAGGGTTTTGGTGCGACAAAATTTCATCAAATTGAATTCACAATTGAGACCGTATTCAGAATAATTGAAAGTAATAGGATTATGCGTTGACATTCCTATGTTGAAATGGTACAAATTGGCTGAAAATTGGTGATTGATTTTGTTTAAAAGGGGTTTAAAATGGAAATTGTGAGAATGTGTTGTTGTCTTGTTGCTGCAAAAATGTGTTGGTGTTGGTCAATTTTTCATATTTTGTTCAATTTATTGTAGTTACACAAACTATGGTTGTTTTAATTTATACAATAATATGTAATGCGATCTGTTATAATGGGGTTTGAGGTTCTGATAATTGCTGATTGATACTTTTTAAAATGCAATTCATACTTTCTAAAAATGGGTTATAGTCTTGTGTGATAAAAAAACGTGGTGGTTGATTTGTCGTACTTTGTTCGGAGAGCTATGATTGTTTCAATTTCTATCATAATTCTGTTGGTGTTCTGCTTTTGAAGGGTGGAAGGGTGAATTGTTTTTGATGTTATAAGGGGCAGTGAGGTTGGTGTTGGGGGCAGTGGAGTTAAGTTTAGGAGGAGTAACATAACTTGGAGGAGGGTATTCATATGGAGGGTATAGAAGACATAATTGTTGCAGATAGTGTTAGGGAAGATGTTATAATTAGGGGCAGTAATGTTGGTGTTGGTGATAGGGGCAGTGAAGTTAAGGTTAGGAGGAGTAACATTGATATGGTTGAGGGTATTGAAATGGAGGGTATAGAAGACACAGTTGTTGCAGATAGTGTTAGTGAAGATGTTAACATGAATGTTGGGTATTTATCCCCCTTGAAAATAATTCAGACAACTCACATTGTTGTTGGTAGCAACGATATGGAAGTTGTTAGCAAGGATATGACATTAATTGTTGACGAGCCTAAGGAAGGGATGGTTTTCCCGTCTTCGGAAGATGTTGAAGCCTACTATAAGGAGTATGCTGAGCAGATGGGGTTTGGAGTGTCTAGGGTTCAAGGTGTAAATTATAAGAAGGATAAGAAACAAAGAATAGCTTACACGTGGAAGTGTGAGTGTTGGGGAAAACCAGACATGGGGGCTAGAAGGGAAGCAAAGAAGAGGGAAAAGGCAATGGGTGTTGGAGGTTCTGGTGGGTTAGTTGATGGGGTGGTATGTGAGGATCAGTTACGTCGTATGAAGAGGACTTCGAAAAAGTATGAATGGGAGGCCCGTGTTTATGATAGAAGGAATGAAGATGGGTTGTTGGTGTTGAAGACAGTGCACCTAAAGCATAATCACAAGATTGATCAAGCAAATTTTAAGCTTGTGAAGGAGTACCGCATGAAGCACCTGACCCCATCATTGCAGAGGAAGTTGCTAGATTACTATGACCTAGGTGTAACAATTTCTCAAATACACGGTTGCATGGCAACCAAACGAAAAGGAGTGGAAAACATGCGTCTCATCGTCAAAGATTTACAACATGAGGTGTACAAGGCAAGGCAGTTGAAGATGGTTGGAGGGGACTCGGTGGCAATGATGGAGTTTTTTGAAAAAATGCAATCCGATAATCAAAATATTTTCCATGCTCAACGGTTAGATAAAGAAGGGAGGCTTAAGGATGTGATGTGGGTGGATGCAAGAAGTAGGGTTGCTTGTGAGGACTTTGGTGATGTTGTATGCTTCGACGCAACATACCTAACAAATGAGTACGAGTTCCCATTTGCGAACTCTGTTGGTGTGAACCACCACGGGCAATCGTTGTTGTTGGGATGTGCTCTTGTTTCTTATGAAGACTGCGATACTTTTCGGTGGATATTTCAATAGTGGCTAGCTTGTATGAACAACCAAGCTCCTAGTGCAATTTTGACTGACCAAGCGGCAGCTATGCAGAGGCCCTAGCTGAATTCATGCCAAACACGATTCATCGTTGGTGCATATGGCATATCATGAGCAAGATCCCTGAAAAACATGGCAAGTGCGCACGGTAAGTGGCTTATGCAATTATTAGTTCATATTAAGTGATGTCTGAGTTCAATGAGTACAATAATCTGCTGTATGAGTTCAATATAAGTTTTGAGAGATTACATTTTAATTAGGGGTGAGCAAGACCGGGTACCCGGTCATATTTGTAATACCCGGATCCGGAACCGGTTATAACCGGGTCCCAAGAATTGGAACTGGTCCCGGAACCGGTTAATACCGGATCCAAATTTTTTGGAACTGGTCCCGGACCTGGTAGGAACCGGTTCCAAAACCGGGTACCCGGTAGCAGCAGATCAACACAGCAGTAGCAGCACAGAGCAATCACTCAAGTATTTCGACCACTTCATCAATTTTAGCATCACCAATTGCCATATTCTTCACAAATTAAAATGTAGCAAGTAAAATCGCAAGTTAAAATCGCAAATTAAAATCGCAATTCACAATTGAACATGCAGTAGCAACGATTAGTATTTAGTACTTTAGTAGGAGAAGACAGGAGAGAGCAAGTAAGTAGAGAAACGATTAAAATCGCAAATTGAATTCGCAAATTGCATATTTCATACCTTAATTAGTAGGAGAAGACAGGAGAGAGAGAAGCAGGTGGACCGTTGACGGTGGTCGCCTGGTGTCCTGGTGTACTGGACGGTGGTCGGAGACTCAGAGGAGACAGTCAGACAGGAGGGAGGACGAAAGAGTGGAGAAAGGCTGAGAGGATTAGAGGAATTAGGGTTTTTTTTATTTTTTCATTATATACCTAGGGTATTTAGTTTTGGGCCAGGCAGGGGTTTTGTAGGATTGGGCTTATAATTCAGTTTGGTTCGGTTTTGTTCGGTTTTTCAATTTCCCGAACCGAAACCGAACCGAAAACCGAAATTTTTTTATTTTTGACACCGAAACCGAACCACCCTCCCAAAAAACCGAACCACATTCCTTATTCGGTTTGGTTTTTCGATTCGGTTCGGTTTTACACCGATTCACTTTCACCCCTATGCATCACCATCTACATCTTTCTCCACAACTACAAATTTCAGAAAAGACCAGCTCAATAAAACAAGAAATAGATCTGAAAATCTGAAAAAAACAAGGTAAACCAATATCATGATAACTAGATTAAAAAAAAAAAAAAAAAAAAAAACACTATTGCAAAGATGCAAGGTGAATGTGATCAGAAGATGGGATTGTAGTGTAGTGTAGTATGATTTTTTTATTTAATCATTCAGTCAGGAAAAAAATTCAACAAAAAATTTTTGAACTTTGGGAAATATCTCCTCTAAAGAAATTTTTCCACTAATCCATCGCAAGTGGTAAAAGCCAAAAGATAGAACATTGAGTTATTGACTCTGTTTCTTCCAATGTTTTTAACTCTATCAGGGAGAATGCAAGCAGCAAACATAACATCATTAAAACGAAACCCCAGTGTACCCACCTCATGTACTGAGATCAACACCACAATGTTAACAGCCAAACAACAACTTCTATAAAAGCAATGACTGAACTAAACATGTACAGCAACTAAAAATGGTACCCACCAATTAATACTCAATAAGAATCTATTCAAACACCCAGAAATTGCAGAAAAAGACTATAAGTGCAGTCAATTTGTACCAATTCATTGATTTCAGCATATTAAACACTCGTAACACCCTCAGAAATTGAAGAAAATAAAAATTAAAATTAACATAAACACTCTAACTATCTCCAAAGAAAATGCAAGCAGTAATAAACAGTACCAGAGATCTACATATGCAAGATGAAACAAAAAGCAAACAAAGTGAGAAAAATACTTACGAAAGAGACAGTCGTTCGGTGGCTTGATGAGAACGAAAGAGAGGATGAGATTTTGAGTACCAAGAGAAAAATACTTACGAAAGAAGACCGAGAATCAGTGAATTGATGAGAACGAAAGAAGACAAGATGAGATTTTCAGAGGAGAACAGAGAAGATTGAGAATGAACAGAGAAGAACAAAACCCTAGCAAAAATGAATTCAATGAAATGAGGAGGCTTAGTGGCTGACAGAAACCCTAGCAGAAATGAGTTGGATGAAATGGGCCTAATGTTGTATTGGACTGTGGATTGTTGGGTTTTTTAAAAAAAAATAATTTTTTATAACTAAATCAGTACCGGTTCCGGGTACCCGGATTGTCTGGATCCGGGACCGGGTACCCGGAACTGGAATTGGTTTAAACCGGGTACCCAGTGGGTACCGGGTCCGAAATTTTAGGACCCGGTCCCGGAACCGGTTACAACCGGGTCCGACATTTTGGACCCGGTCCCGGAACCGGTGGGACCAGTTCCGGGTCCGGACCCGGCGGATCCTAACCGGTTCCGGGTCCGGTACCGGGTACCCTGGGTCTTTGCTCACCCCTAATTTTAATGATATATGAACTATTGTGACTGATGCTGGCTAATATATGGCCTTCAAATTTGATGTGATAATTTAATGATATGCCAAGTGCAAGATATTGAGTTTGGTGCAGGATAATGATGTATGAACTATAAGAGCTAGTGTTTGTTGCTAGGGGAATTCATGTTCTTGTGCTGTTTTTTTTTTTTTTTTCAAGAGGAGCAGATTTATTAGGCCTTAACAGGCTTCAGAATAAGAGTTAGATAATTACAGATCATAGCAACAGTCAAAATAGCTAGCTGCTAAGGGTTGCTAAACACATTAGAAAGAGTTAGAGTCTTCAAGTTGTTTTCCCTTACAGTAGCTAAGGGTTGCTAAACACATTAGACAAAGTTAAAGTAAAAACAGAGGGACAAAATGGGACCTGTTGTTTTCCCTTACAGTAGCTAAAGGATTAGGAGGAGCCAATTTTACATTAAACTAGTCCATATACAAAATATTGTTGCTAAACAGATTAGACAGAGTTAGAGTCTTCAAGTTGCCGTGCTGTTTTATTAAATATAATTTGCTTGCATTTTAGTATTTTCAAGATGTTATAGTTTTAGACCATGATAGCACTGAATATATATTATTATGCTCAATTAATTTTTGTGTAGTTACCAAGAATTTTTCAACCCCATGAAAGAGGTGGTGTATGAGAGTTTTGATCCCGAGGAGTTCAATACCCGATGGGCTGAGTTCATAGCGGAGTATAACATGGAGGGAAATGAAAGGATGTATAGCATACATAAGGAGAGTCATATGTGGGTGCCTAAGTACATGAAGGAGTATGATTCGGCTGGTATGAAGGCCACACAAAGGGTGAAGAGCATCAATCGGTTTTTTGATGGCTATTCAAACCGCAAAACTAAACTCCACGAGTTTCCTCAGAAATATACCAAGGCCTTAAATCAATGCGTGACAGATGAAGTGAGTGAAGATGAGCGTTGCTCGAAGTACCATAGGAGGTTGGTTAGTGGCTTAAAAGTTGAATTTTTTTTCCAAAAGTTATACACAGACAACAAGTTTCAAGAATTTCAAACGGAGTGTTCGAGATTGATGTATTGCAGCCTCAGAGGAAAGGAGGTTTTGTCTGAAAACGTTATTCAGTATTTGGTGATTGATCGTGTATGGATAGTACCTCCATGTGCTAGTGAGGAGGTCATTACAGATAGGCAAAGGCTCTACCAAGTTACTTACTGTCCTATCACTAAGGAGGTTCAATGTGTTTGCAGGAAGTTTGAAACAAGTGGCATACTTTGCAAACACTGTATTAGAATTCTCAACAAAACTTGGTTGAAGATCTGCAACAAAAGTATATTTTAGACCGTTGGTGGAAGGACGTACCCCATAAACAAACTAAAGTCAAGGTGGTCTACCGTGATCCGGGCGACACAGAAAATGTGAAGAGATTCAACCGAATGATGGAAACGTTCGAGCCCATTTGTGAAACTATTGCCATGCTGAATGATCAAACAGTCCATATTGTAATTGAAGCACTATCGAAGTTTCAAAAAGTTGTTAATGATTGTAGGGATAAGAAGAATCAGGAACATGTTCCTGTAGTTAGCACACTTTCATCAATCGCTGAAGACAGAACATTTTCATCAGCCTCAGTTATGAACCATGCAGAACCTGTAGACCTATGTCCATTTGCCATGGAGCCTGTTATAAAGGACCCCATAATTAAGAAAAGGAAAAGTGGCAGGCTTAAGGGTTCGGCACAAATCGTTTGCTGAAACTGGCTACAAGAAACCCAACAACAACAAGAAGCCTAGCCTAGTAAGATTTATGCTTTTATAGTCAGTACTTTTTATAATTTGGCATAAGCTGACTGATATTTTGGATATCATATAGGATGCAAAAAATTGTGTTGAGGAGGTAGAAGAGGATGCAGGAAATGGTGTTGAGGATGCAGGAAATGAGGAGGATGAACATGCATTGAATGTAGGAACAATTAAGGTTAAGGCAAAGGAAAAGGCAGAACAAGGTAAGGGCAAGGGAAAGGGTAAACCAATAAAGGGGAAGGCAGGAACAATTAAGGGAAAGGAGAAGGGCAATGCAAAAACAGGTAAGGGAAAGGGAAAGGGAAATGTTAAACCAAGTAAGGGAAAGGGAAAGGGAAAGGGAAAGGGAAAGGGCAAGGGCAATGTTGAACCAGATAAGGGAAACGATAAGCGCAATGCAAAACAAGACATGGAAAAAAGTAAGGGGAAGCCATTATAATGAAGCGGAAGGTGAATACGTATTCCCCGATAAAACCTTTAATTTTGAATACACTCATTTATGTGATTCCAATTAATTAAATTATTTTTTATATCACGTTTAACACATCACAACTCATAGGTGATGAAGCAGAAGGTGGTGAAACAGAAACGACTTGTGGAACTAATGGCCAACGCGTGACTTGTAAGTTTGGATACTATATCAAGCGGTAGGCAAATACGTATTCCTGGGAGGCGAATAAGTTTATCGCTGATGTGGATTCGTGCGTTTATTGTACTAAGCTAATGGTGAAGTGTTGCTAGGTTAAAAAAATTTTAAACTAGTAACAAATACCTAATGTCTGATCTATTTTTAGTTGAGTCTTATGTGTTAAATCTAATGTATGAACATGATTTGAATCTTGGATTTATTATATCACCCTTGAGGCTCAAAACACATGCATACTTGCTGCAGCCATAGACCAAACTTAATGTATCTAATCAGGCTATTAACATTACCAAAGATTGTACATATAAGCATAGACCAAATTTCTTTACTTTTGTAGATTTAATTATAGAACAAAATATTCAATAACCATGCCACAAAAATCATATACAACTAGATTCATCACCTTAGTTCCTACTTAGTAAATTATACACAGAATCATCTCCAAAATAACTATTTATAAACAAAAACCCACTCTAAAACCAAAAGAAAGCTTCATGCATAACATACTACTCTAACAAATTCGATTGAAGTTGTTGGGGGATCGATTATAAGCATCTGAATCAATCGAAGAATCAGATGCACCATAGACACCATCATCTGGCCCAAACTCATCTCCACCGTCGGATCCAGAAGACGAGTGCCCTCCAACGTCTTCCCCATCTTCTGCTTCCACCTTCACGCCATTTCCATGAGCCTCACCCTCATCACCTTCATCATCACCATAAACCCCTCTTCTAATTTTTCTTCTTGTTCTGGTTCCATCTGCTCTTCCTCTTCTTCTACTTCATCTTCTTGTTCTTCCTCGTCTTCTACAGCAGGCTCTGGCTCCTCCACCATAGGAGGTTCTTCAACCACAGGAGGCTCCCCCACCACAAGAGGCTCCTCCACCACAAGAGGTTTCTCCTCCACTTGAACCACCACTGTATGATCCTCCTCATCGCTTATATCCATATCACATTCGCCGCATTTAACATCGCCAGTCAGAGTGTTGCTTCCATTACCATCCCCACCCATGTCCTTGGACGATTCACCAACACAAACCTGCTTCTTCTTTACTGGAGCATCATCATCATCACTATCACTTTCAATATGGATTACACCATCACACTCAGTATATCTAGGCCGTTTGCATTTTTTTTTGTGTTAATCTTCCTTGTTTAGTCTCTAGTTTATAAACTCAATATCCTTCAACACAGCTTCCATCCTGTGAACTGTTTCAACCATTTTTTGAATAAGTTCATCTAATTCCTTTTCAAGTGTCAACTTCCAAAGTTTAAGAAATTGACGGTACGTCTGATATGCCTAAGGAATTGGCGATCCTCCATTGTTAACTTTTATACCTAGCTTGCTAATATGGGACAGACTGTAAATTTGTTTGGCAATGTGTCATGCAACATTTAACAAAGGTTTGGCAATGCTCATGTTTGGCCGAAAATCAGATTCATATTATTTCTCACACAGCAACTACAATTATTCTTGAAATATTGTTGTCACTACTCTGTGGTTGGATCATTTCATAGTAATAGAACTATATAGAACAAAACTAAATAAAATTGAAAAAATTTTCTCTTTTGGCTCATTGCCCTTTCTTATCTAAAACTTAAGTTATTGATTGCAGGCATGATCTATCTTACTTTATTTCGTCCAACTAGCAGACAACTTCTTTTGCGTTGTATGAAGTAAATGTCTAATAGCATGCTTATTGATATTGAACTTGAAGTTAGTCAACTATTAAGTTTTAGTTCTAATATTATATGTTCATTCATGTACTTTCTTTTGCATATGTAGGCATTTCATGCACATTGTCACTATGTGCTACCCATATGAGAGAATTGTGCTCCTAATAACTTGGGGTTGTGCTAGGAATGCTGGGAGATCGCTGGCATACTCTCTTCCCTTCTTCCCCCCTTTCTCTTACTTCCACCTCATAGAGCTTCACTATATGCTTTCTTTATTATATACTTCTTATACTAGTAAATCTACCTGGAAAGCTCTTTTTAAATTTAATAGAATTTTTTATATATGTTAAAATGAATGAAGAGTCTTACATATTTTAATGAATAAAGAAACTGGATAAAAGAAGAATAATCAAATAATTTTAATAACAATTTTCAAATGCACCTAACTGAGACTTCCTGAGAGCTAAGATAAATCAAACTGCATTATTATTTGGCATTGATGATCACTAGGGTCAGTTGTCATTGTTTAAAGAGGTATGTGACTCAACTCTGGACATTCTAAGATGTTCAATTTTTCAACCATATTGCTATACCTCAGTACATACAGTAGATTAGTTGTGTACCCACTGATTGCAATTGTATACTATGTATCTAATGCCTAAATAAAATTTTATTAGCGATTGCATATTATAAGTTGATATAAAATTACCCCAACTTCTCTATAGAGGTGTTTTTGCTCATTGTAGGATAAGGAGGCTCATATACGTAGGAATGTAGTTGTACCCATGAAATTCCTATGCAATAACCGTCTGCTACTTCACCAGGCCATGACAGTTGATTATGTATACTTTATAGGTTTTTTGTGCTGTTATGATTGTAGAAAGTATACTTTGACATTACAAGCTGCTTACATAGCTCACAAAAAAAAAAAAAAAAAAAAAAAAAAAAAAAGAAACATATTGTAGACACCCATTTGTGTCTCCCCAAAACCAAACCCAGTGATGAATACCTTTCGCGTCGAATCATAATCGAATGAAATGAAAGTGTGGAAAGTCTAGTGTTGCGGATAATTTTAATTTCTTTTCACTTCTCTCTATTTTAGAAAACTTATTTTAAGAAACAGCCAATCTAGTTTGGTTGGTCCATGAAATAGGTCAATATTAATGTAGTTAGATGAGGCTTGAAGAGAGCTTTCCAACGATATATTATAAGCCCAATTCCGATGAATATTGAGGAAGTTATGACCAATTTACTAAATTGGGTCCGGTTTGAGCCTTATATGCGGCATAATGATCTAGGGAAGGGCCTAATATGATTTATCATTCCTAATGCAATTAGGAATGATTTTAGTTTTCTAAATTCTTCTCGAAGGTTTTTTTCATTCCTAATTCAATTAGAATTGATAAATTAACTTTTGTTGACTTTTCAGAGTTTTAATTAAAATCAAAGAGCATTTTTTAGGGAAATACGATTTTATCCTCCTGTACGGCAATTTGTATCTGATTTTAAGAAAACGCGTGATTTCCTGAATCAGCGCCAAACGCCAGCTGTAGCGCCTGGCGCTACGCTTGGCGCCTGGCGCTAGTGTTGGTGCCTGACGCCAACAGCCAGCGTTGGCGCTGGTTCAGTTTCATGTGCGCCAGACTCTGTTTTGATATTTTATCTTTTTGGCTGATTTTCTCTATAAATAACGTATTAAAAACTCCGTTTACGATAACCAGATTTCACTTACAACCAGTATTCATTCACAATTCTCATCTCTTTAGTCATTCACCAATTCTCTTCAAGATTCTTTTACTCTCTCTCTCTCTTTTTCTAAACAAGCCTTTTAAATACAAAATTCCGCATTCGCAAGATCTAGAAACATCTAGCCATATTCAAAGTTGTCTTCGCCCTAGACGTGAAAGGCTTAATTTCTGAGGGTTTGGTCCCAAATCTCTCTTTCAATTATTTAATTTAATTGTTTTGATTTATTATTTTCCTTGAAGTTACTAATTATGTGTGTATTTTGTTATTAGAAAGAGGTACGAGGCATCAAAGTAAGTACTTTAATGGTTTTTATTGATGTCATTATCATGTTTAGATTGTTATTATGATTCCTAGTATCATGTCTAGGGTAATTTTAATATCAAATATGATTATTACGATGCTTCTTATGTTCTTCCTAATATTTATGATTGTTAGTATCATGTTAGGGCTAAAGCTTTGATTTTTATTACTTAGTGACATGCTAGGGTTCATTATTAATCTTGTTAGTATTATGCCTAGGATCTTGCTATTATTATGCTTTAACGTTATTATTTTAATTATGATTATTATGATTATACTTTATGATAATTATTATGATTGTTATTATTATTATACTTATTATTATTATTATTATTATTATTATTATTATTAATATTAGTATTATTATTATTATTATTATTATTATTATTATTAATATGATTGTTATCATGGTGATTATTATTTTGGTGATTATTATAATTAATGATGATCATTATGTTGCTTGATATATATATTTATTTTTATTGCTTGATCACGCCTTTTATGCCTGTTTAAAGGGAATTTGTACTTGTAATCACGCTTAATAAGATAATTAATAATCTTTTTAGGGTTGATTTGATTATAATTCAAGTGATCGTCAATAATAGATTTATTTGTGCATTATATTCAACCAACATAGATTAAACAGGTTTAGGGTTAATCCTATTGATTGCATGTTAGTCAAGAAACGCACATGAATACGATCAGAATAAAGTAGAGGCCTATTATTAGAGCAGGTTCAATCTCCTTTAGGTTGGATTTGTACCTTCATCCCCGAACCTTATTTGGTTCAAGACCTTATGGAGTTGACGATCTCTTGGATCGTCAAGGGGTGTAACCTTCACCCTGTGAACGGTTTACAAGTTCCTAAAACTTGTTGGTGACTCTTTTGCTCTATCTTCTTCCCTTTTGGACGCCACCGTACTTTATTGCATGATCACAGTGGGGTTCAAGCTAAGGGTTAACGCTTGAAATTATTCTCTATAGTTTTTTGGCGACTCCGCTGGGGAGGATTTCTATTTTAATTCCTGAATTTGTTTCGGCAATGATTTAGAATGAGTGGATGAGACTCGAAACGTTCTAAGTATTTCATGTGCGTAATTTTGATTAACATTATTGTCATATGCATAAAAAAGATCTCATATGAAAGACCATTTGTAATGAGTTAAAAACATAGGATTTTACACGTAGGAAATTTGAGAAATATCTTTCACAAGTAGGACCGAAATAACACCGCGCGAAACAGAAAAATTTTATCGAGCATAGAAAGCTGTTGAGGCATGTAGGAATTAGCGCCAGGGGCCAGAGCATTGGCGCCAGATTTTTAACTGTAGCGCCAGACGCCAGCATTGGCGTAAGGCGCAACAGCTAAAACCTGGTGCCATTCTCTGTTTGCTGGCGCCTAATTCTCTTAATATCGAGCCAGAAATATGCGTTATAATTTCGACCAGTTTTTCGTATTGTTTGCACGATCCTACTTCCTGATTGAATTTTTTCTCACTTTTCTGAAACCCATATGTGTTCTACATATGGACATAACCCTCTGGGAATTAATGCTCCATCTACCTGATTAAACGATCTGAGCAACAAAGGGTACATCCGAGATCGTTGAATTCAGCAAACCATGGAAGCGAGTTTTTTTTCTAAAACTCGCGGTGTCCCATCCACTCACGCCAACCCTTCACGGTTAGGCTTCCGCACGGTGCATCCGGATAATTAACCATGGACCCTTTATTGATTCATATCCCGAACTTTAGAGAACTAAAGCCATGGTTAGGTTGCAAACTCATTGCATCATATTGTGCCTACTTGACTAGTTGTGCATTATTTGTTGTGTATATATTCTATGTTTTCTTAACCGTTTGTTTAACTTGTGTCAAAATTAAATAAATTAATGACTCAAAAACTTTGCCTAATTAATTAATTAATCAATTAATTTGAGTCAATAAAGTCTAATATTTTAATCATAATTGACCTAGTATGACTTTAGGCATACCCCCGTTGATTAATCACACCGAAAACAGTCCCACATTGAAGCTCCAACAGTGGCGCCAAAGTCTGGACCGTGGCGCCACTTTTTGGAGTGTGGCGCCTGGCGACAGCTCTGTCGTCTCGCGCTACACTACACAGTGCGACGCCAGTCCTGTCGTTTTGCCGACAGTTCAGATTATTGATCGAGTCATCACCTAGTGTCTAATTAACCAGTTTGCTAATTAATTCGGTTAATTTTCGTTGTCAATAACACTTTATTAAGTCATTAATTGAGTCTAGTCACATAGTCTAGCCACATGGTCATGAAACGAGTCTTAACATGTCACCTACACTCACTAGTCTTAGCACACACTTTGAGTATATGTCACCATGACCGTATCTTAGGTTCATCCATGAGTCAGTTTTTCCGTCATTTGAGTTGGGGGTACATTTTAATCCTAATTCTTCATATGCCTCCATCTACATCATTTTTCTGCACATTATATTCCAATCTTTCTTCACTTCCTC